GGAGATGTCCCTGCTCATGGCAGGGGGGTTGGAACCAGATGGTCTTTGAGGTCCCTTCCAACCCAACCCATTCTATGATTCTATAAGTACAACCACAAGCAGGGGGTGTTTTCCCCAGACATCCTCAGCTTTCCCTGGCGCTGCCTTCCTGTGCATTTCATTCCTTGGGTCACAGCGCGTTTGATGCTCAGCAGCGAGCAAATGTGATGCTGGCTTCTTACATATGTGCACAAGGAAATGCTGTCTGGTGGTCTGCCACTCGCTCTCAAGGTGGCAAACGAGCTTTTCATTCCCAAGCGAGCTCTTTCAGTGCTGGATGAAAAATGTAATATACGGGAAGTTAGCTCAACTGAAAAGCAAACTTCTGCCAAGGGGAAAATTTTCACGCCGAAAGTCTGTCACAAAATGTGAGTTATTACGATGGATGAATTAGCAAATTGCTGTCGAACCGGTGCTGAGTGATGTTAATATGGCTGTTTAGGGCAATGCACATTTAATTATTATCTGTTATGATAAAATGCCATTATTTGTTCTGGGTCCATATACTTTTATTTACTGTGCTTCTGCTATTGGGATTTTCGGGCAGCTATGTCAGCACAAAGCCTTCTCCTTTGAACGTGGAACTGAAGAGTGTTGTCTGTCAGATTCACCAGGAGACCGTGCTAGTACTGCTAAAAAAAGAGGCACGTAAACCAGTATCGGTTGCTTGTGGATACAACATTACAGAGCAATGTATGAAGAACAGCTAGAGTAACTTTAATGCCCTTCAGAACACACCTGTCTGAGGGATGGAATGATGTCGGTGTTGAGTTCTGGGAGGAGAGCACCGAGGTGGAAGCTGGGACTGAATTTTGTTCAGTGGAAAACACTGAGAATTGAGTGCAGTTCGATGCAATGAGCGTCAGGCCATGCGTGTGGGGGGGAGAGCACATGATCTTCGGGAGGTGCCGTGGGATCTCCGAGATTTTGAATTGCAGTTGTAGCTCTCGCCGGCGGGATAGCCCTGTCAGGCTTGCCTTGACAGTCTGGAGTTTTGGTTTTTTTCAACAAACCAAAGAACACCAGGGCCACCACGAGCTTTGTACTCTCTTCCCTTTCGCGCCTGATTTCTTAGGTGAGGGAATTTCAGACAATGTATAGAATGATAGGTTTTTGCAAGCTCACGGGCTGGGGAGCTTGACCCGTGTGCTGTGGTAGTGCAGACTCCTGGCAATAAGTTCCCTGTATTTGCGCTTTAAATAAAAACTGCAATTTCTCATCACTCCTCCTGACCCGGGAGCAGTGGAAACAATCTGTTCTCACCGAGAAACACTGAAGCTATGTGGAACTGGGGCAAATGTAAATATGGATTTGTTATAAATCTGTGGAAAGTTCGGAGAGAGAATTATTTTTGAGGAAAGCCATAGGTGGCCAAAATGCCGGCATTTCTGAATCAGCAGAAGGACAGTGCTTTGGCAAAGAGGGTACGTGGTTCAACACTGAATGGAAAGCAACAGTTAGAAATCAGAAGCTGTGATGGAATCACTCCAAGTGCAGTGTGTAGCTACGGTGTCGGGAAGGGCTGACAGGACTCTCGGACGCCTAACCAGGCGAAGCCAGAGCAGATGCGCTTGCCTCGGAGTATTACTCTCGTGAGACGGTAGTGTAAAGTTACATGCAGAGCTGAGGTGGACGTGTTTGAAAGGGTCCTGGTAAACCGATGGGGTTGTGCAAAGCGCCAGAAAGGTTGTTCATGGAGTGTACAGGTCATACGTAGTGTGGAAGATGCTTTAAAAATGACATCTGTGGTAAAAATCACTTGTAAAGAATATTTGGCTTTGTCGCCTGCTTTGTACGCTCGGACCCCGCGTGCTGCAGGCGCCGGCTTTCTGCAGCAGCAGCAGGGGTTGGTGCCTGTATCTCATCAGCAGTTCTGGTGGCTGAACGAGCTTGCTCATTAACTGCTGGACAGCTCATTAATGTTTTCAATGCGCTTTTTTGCCTTGCCTTCCAGGTTTATGATGAACGTGACTTGGGAAGGCAGAGACCTGTCCTTCACGGCAGACGGTTACCAGGCGCACCCCCGGCTGGTGGTGATAGTGCTGAACAACGACCGGGCCTGGGAGAAGGTGAGCATCGCCCCGGGGCCGGGGGCTCGTGGAGTCCCCTTAGTGACTGGTCCACCCTGGGAACACCAGTGATGGGACGCGCTGCTGGCGCAGGTTTGGTGTGGCAGCTCCGAAGAGGTAGTCTGACCTCATTCCGAGCAGGTCTGGGGGGTTTGAACAGGGAAAGCCACATAGCAGGGAAGAGGTGCCGCGTGGATTTCGGAAGATTGTGAGAAACACCTCGCGTTTCTTCTTACAACTTAGTAAAATAAAGTGGATGACTGAAAAACCTCCTGAAACTTGGGCCTGAACTACCTAAATCTGGATGGATTTGTCTGTCTTAACACCAGTCCTTTTGTTTGCTTGTTTTTATAGTCGTCTCTGACAGATTTTGGGGTAAAAGTATGCTTTTTTAATTTCTTCCAACTGTGACATTCCTGTTGAATTGAAGGATAATCCCTATAACATTTGCCTGAAAAATTCAGAGTCTCAACTTGTGTTCTTCTGGTAGGCAACTAATCTCCACAAACCTCTGTACAGACTACAAGGAGAAGTTACTGTGAGGTGTAAATAATGTTATTTTCTTAGATATGCAATAAAGAGACAGAGTGCAGTGACCTGGAATCTAAACATAACTTGGTGCTGATCCTCTAGATCTTCCCTATTGAAAAGGAATTTACTGAGACCAGGTTCTGCTAGGTGCTTTGAAAAATCCTCTGTGTCTGAATGTCACGGTTAGTCATATATGCAAGTAATAAAAGAAAAAGTTTATCGTGAGCATTTTTTCTCTCAAAGTCCCCCCTCAGCCAGTTTTGGCTCTGAGTTTTACAGGCTACGTGTGGTCATGGGTTTTAAAAACAGGGGACCTTAGAAACTGTTTGCAATAGGAGACTGTAGGAAAAAACACCTCTGGATCATCCACCAGTTTTATTTTAAATTTGTAAAGCATGATCCTGCATTATCTAAATTGCAGCTGAAATCTGAACTCATTTTCTTATAGTTTTAGGGTCCCATAAAGTCAGCTTAGAACTTCAGCTTGCAAGACTGCAAGACTTTTCCTGATGTTGAATAATAATGAGAAAATAAGAATTACTGAAGGACATCTCAGTAAATATGCCAGTCATGCAAAAGCACAGAGAGTAGTCCTAGATTATGCTATGTATTTCTTTATGTTCATTTGATGCAAATTTAATTCTCTGGATAAATTTAATCCTATCCAAATGTCTCAGTCTGAATCTTTGGAAGAATCTTTTGCTCAGTAACCATTATGAAAATTTCTTGCCCTATTTTAAAGTTCTTCATCAGTCTGCATATCAAATATAATGGAAAAAATATTATACTACTTGGGGAATATTAGTATGAGGGAGAAAATGGTTAGAGAAGCAGCCAAGAATGCTTATGGTATAATAATTTCATACATTTTGTACCATTTTGAAGCTTCTCTAAAGAGATGATTCAAGGGACAAGGGCAGACTCTTTTGATGTTTTTGAAAGATGGGCTAACAACAGCAAAGAAATTCTCAATATGTAAACTGACATCATTTCCAAGAGATACCTCGAGCCTGGTTAAACCTCGAGGTGCCTCCCCTGCCAGAGATGGGCAGACTGGCGCGGGTCGCGCTGGACGGGGCTGCGCGGCGGCAGTGCGCGCTCCACCTCCTGCGCTGGGCCACAAGGCTGGCTCTAGGCTGCTGCGAGCATGCCCTGCGCTCAGTTTGCCGTCTGTGAAGCCCTCCCTGCGCGTTGTCCTGTTTGAGGGGCTGCAAGGAGGAAGAAAAGAATGGCTGAAGGGAGGCTCCTGCCCGCAAAGAAAATGTCAGCCTCTGCTCCCAGCTGCCCCTTTGCTGCAGAGCCCTGCTGGTAGCCGGGCGGAGGAGTCACTGCGGCAGAGCCAGCCTGCCCCTGGCTGCAGCCTTCCGTGGCTGCGGGAAGGGGGCCAGGCGTCGTTCTGTCAGAGGGGAGCAGCGAAAAGGTGGCCAAGAATGGGCTGTCAGCAGCAGAACTGTGCTTCCATTCAGCGTGACCTGGATAGGCTGGAAAGTTGGGCAGAGAGGAACCTGATGAGGTTCAACAAAGGCAAACGCAGGGTCCTGCACCAGGGGAGGAACAACCTCATGCATCAGTACAGGCTTGGGGTGGACCTGCTGGAGAGCAGCTCTGTGGAGAGGGACCTGGG